CATTATCTCTTATTATAGCTTTCAACTTAAAATCTATTTTGTCTGATATAACTACTCCTGATCTCTTCTAGTTTACACTTCCATGGAAAAATTTTTACATCCTTTCACTTTCAGCCTAATTGCCTTTAAACCTTAAGCAAATCTATGGGGAACCTGAGTGGCTCAGTTGGTTAAGTGTCTGACTCTTGATCTCAGGGTCATGAGTTTCAAGCCTCCTACATGAAAGAAAGAAAGAAAGAAAGAAAGAAAGAAAGAAAGAAAGAAAGAAAGAAAGAAAACAGGGAGAGAGAAAGAAAGAAGTTTAAGTGAATCTCTTTTAGGCAGCATATAGTTAGGCTATTTTTTTTTATTCCCCCACTTTATGTCTTTTAAATGGCAAATTTAAATCATTTACATTTAAAGTAATTCTTGATAGTAAGGACTATCATCATTTGATGATTTGATAGTAAGGACTATCATCATTTTGTTAATTGCTTTCTGACAGTTCTGTACTTCCTTTGTTCTTATCTTCCTCTCTTGCTGTCTTTCTTTGTGAATTGATTATTTTTTTAATAGGGATATGCTTTGATTTTTTTCTCTTTACTTTTTGTGTGTCTCTTAAAAACTTGTGCCCGGATCGTCATAGGGCTTTCAAAATAGTTACAACAGTTCATTTTAAGCTGATAACTTAACTGCATAAAAATGTTCTACACATTTACTCTTCACCCCCACATATGTTTCATGTTGTTGGTGTCACAATTTACTTCTTTTTATATTTTATATTTCCTTCTTTTCTATAACTTTTCAACCTCTTCCAGTCTGGCTTGCCTCTCATCAGCCCACTAAAATTATTCTTGCTAAAGTCATCAGTTTCCTTCTTGATTCTGAATGCAATTGAGTTTTTAAAAATTAATAAATTTTTATTTTACTTTTTAAAATTTTTTAAAGATTTTATTTATTTATTTGACACAGAGAGAGAGATCACAAGTAGGTAGAGCAGCAGGCAGAGAGACAGGGGAAAGCAGGCTCCCTGCTGAGCAAAGAGCCCAATGCAGGGCTCGATCCCAGGACCCTGAGATCATGGTCCAGGCCAAAGGCAGAGGCTTAACCCACTGGGCCACCAAGGTGCCCCCAAAATTAACAAATTTTTAAAGAAAAATTGGAGGTTCACAGCAAAATTGAGCAGAATATACAGAGTTCCCATATAGCCTTTGACCCTACATATATAATCTTCCTTATTTAACATACTCCATCATAGTCTTACATTTGTTAGGAACGTTAAACCTATACTGACACATTATTGTCTTTTCCCTGAGAACTTCCTTTAACATTTCTTACAAAGCAGGCCTACTGTGACAAATTATAATTTTTGTTTGTCTAAGAAAGTCTTTAGTTCTTCATTTTTGAAGGGTAATTTCATGAGGTATAGATTTCTAGGTTGGTGGGTGTTTTTCCTCTCAGGACTTTAAGTATTTACTTCCCTCTTTTCTTGCATGATAGTTTCTAGGGAGAGCTCTGTAATTCTTACCTTTATTCTTCTATAGGCATGGTGTTTTTTTCCTTCTGGCTTCTTTCAAGATTTTTTTCTTTCTTTCAAGATGTTTGAATATGATAAATCGAGTTGTAGATTTGAGGGTACTTATCCTGCTGAGTGTTCTTTGACATTCCTGAATCTATAATTTTGTATCTGACATTAATTTTAGGAAACTCTCAGTCATTATTGCTTCAAATATTGTTTCTGTACCTTTCCTGTGTCTTTTCTTCCTGGAATTCCAATTATGTGTATGTCACACCTTTTGTAGTTGTCCCATAGTTCTTGAATATTCTGTTTTTTTCAGTCTTTTTTCTCTTTGTTTTTCAGTTTTGAAAGTTTCTACTAACATATCCTCAAACTCAAGTATATTTTTTCACTATGCCCAGTCTACTAACAAGTCCATCAAAAGCATTCTTCATTCTTGCTATAGTATTTTTGATCTCTAGCATTTCTGTTTTGATCTGTCTTAGAATTTCCATCTCTTAGGTGCATGGGTGGCTCAGTTGGTTAAGTGACTACGTATAGGCTTAGGTCATGATCCCGGATTTCCAGAATTGAGTCCTGCATCAAGCTCCCAGCTCCACAGGGAGTCTGCATCTCTCTCTGACCTTCTCCCCTCTCATGCTCTCTCTTACTTGCTCACTCTCAAATAAATAAGCAAAATATTTAAAAAAAAAAAGAATTTCCATCTCTCTGTTTATATTATTCACCTGTTTTTGCACGTTGTCTACTTTTTTCTATAATGCCCTTAGCATATTAATCATAGCTATTTAAAATTCTGGTCTGATCATTCTAATACTACTGCTTTATCTGACTCTGGGGATGTCTATTCAGTCTCTTCAAACTGTGTTTTTTGTTTGCTTGTTTGTTTTTGCCTTTTTTTTTTAAGATTTTTTTATTTATTTGTCAGACAGAGAGAGGGAGAGAGAGCAAGCACAGGCTGACAGAATGGCAGGCAGAGGCAGAGGGAGAAGCAGGCTCCCTGCTGAGCAAGGAGCCCGATGCAGGACTCGATCCCAGGACGCTGGGATCATGACCTGAGCCGAAGGCAGCTGCTTAACCAACTGAGCCACCCAGGTGTCCCTGTTTTTGCCTTTTAATAAACCTTGTAATTTTTTGCTAAAAGGTAGACAAGATGTACTAAGTAATGGGAACGGTGGTAGATAGGCCTTTAGTAAAGTAGTGGCAAGGTGTAAGCCATAGTGCTATGATTAGGTCTTTTTTGTTGAGCCTTTACACCTGGAGGGTAAAATTTGTCAGTACTTCTTAGTCCCCATATCTTCTTAAGTGGGATAGGACACGTAGAGACACCTGTATCTGGGTATTTCCATTCCTCCATGTGGAAGGCTAGAGAGAGCTGGAATTGGAATATTTCCTTTCCTCATTTGTAAAAGCAGAGCTGGCTGAAGTTGGGTATTTCCTTTCCCCAAGGTAGGTCAGGCTCTACTAAAACCCCAACAAGTTAGACTCTGGTGAAATACATTCTTCTGAGGGAAGGCTTTGTTAAGAACAGAATATTCCAGTATATTTCAAGATGGTTCTTTTCCTCTTCCCATTACCAAAAGCATGAAAGGATTTTTCTCAGATATTGACTGTGAGGATCTGATAGAGGTCCTTCCTAAAGATAAAACTCTTTAGGTTTTTAGATAAAAAAGTGTCAAGCCCCCCTGATGACTGTGTCCATCTTGAGTTTTTAACTCTCAGCATTGTCTTCACTGAGCCTCTAGCAACTCATCAACCACACCAACACTGGTTTTCCCATCCCAGCAATGGTTCTCAGGGAGGTTTCTGTTCAAGTGTTTTTGCTCCAATAAGTCATGATTCTCTGTATCCACCTGTCTTTCCAAGTATTAGTGCAGCACTTTGGCCTATGACATAATTTTTCTGACATATCTAAAAAGGCTTGTTGATTTTTAACTTCGTTCAGGTTTTTTTTTTTTAAAGGTTTATTCATTTATTTAAGAGAGAGGGAGACTGAGAGATAGAACAAGCACAGGGGTTGGGGATAGAGGGAGAGAGTCTTAATCAGACTCCACAGAGAGCTCAGAGCTAAACTCAGGGCCCAATCCCAAGATCCTAAGATCACCACCCAAGCAGAACCAAAAAGTCAGGCACTCAACTGACTGCATGACCCAGGTGTGCCTTTGTTCAGGTTTTTACTTGTTAGGCCAAAGTGGTGACTTCTAAGTTCCTTACGTGCTAGACCAGAAACTGGAAGTCCTCCAAATTTGCAAAGTTTTTTATAACACTGGGATTCCAAGCAACATTCAGTATTATTAACCACTCCCCCTTTTAGGAGTAAATATTCTTGTCTCTTCTCCTATGATACCACATTCTGTTCATTTTCCTCTTTTCCTCTGTCCACTCTTTTCTACCTGACTATTGAGTATTCCAAGGAATGATCCAGGACTCTTTTCTCTTCTTCACTCTGTAGAAACTCATTCTTTCTCAGGTGCTTTCATCTATTTGTATAAACTTAGAAATATCTGCAACACTGTATACTTATCTTCCATTTTCCTGACCTGCAGATTTATAGCCAGTGGTCCTTACAACATTTTCATTTTCATGTACCCTCAGACCCCCTGCCTCTCCTATCACACTAAATAGTACCTTTATCCACCAAAGCTGCTGAAGGCAGAAACCTAGAAGTCTTTTTTGACACTTCACTCCTTCATCTTCTATCTCCAATTCATGATCTCCACAGGCAAAATTATCTTGAATCCATGCATATTTCCCATCTCTCCTACAAAATATCCTTGTCAAGCCACCACAATCTTGTACCTAAAATATCTGTAACTTCATACTAAAGGAATCTTCCCACTGAGACTCTTGCCCTTTTTCAATATTTTTTTTTACCCAATGTATACAATGACAGTAAAGTGTAGTGGAAAGAATACAGATGTAACATCCAGAAAAACCTGCCACAAACTCCTCAAACACACTGATTAATATCTAAACCTCATTTTTCTTAGGTATAAAATAGGTGAAAACAAAGCAAAACAAACAAACAAAAACCTCATAGGTAGGAATGTTATAAGAAAAAGATATGATTTATAAAAAGTGCTTAGAATAATGCCTAGCACTGAATAGTCACTCAAAGAGTAGCTCCTGTTACATACAAAATAAAGTTCATATTTCCCCCCAAAGACCTCTAGATTCTAGACCTAACATATTAATTCACAAATTCTCCTCAGCAGAAGACACGGCTCTGGCTACATAGCGAATGTCTTATTTTTACCTTAAATTAATGTTTAATAGACATCCAATTATCCAAAAGGAATTTGGAAAAACTGTAAACTTTCTCTTTCATTAAATTTATTTACAGTATATATTCATGTAACAGTAATGTAATCTAATTCCTAAGTTTGAAACCTGTTTGAAATTATTGACTTAACTGAAAAATAACTCCTATAAAACCGTTAGTTAAGAATATGTCCTACATCAATGAAATTTATGATTTATATAGTTTTTCTGTTTCAACACTTACTTTTTTCTTTGTTTTCTCAGGGGCTGAAGGGTAAGTTTTCTCAGCAAGTAAAACTTCACAAGCTGCATTATCTGTAAAGAAAAAGATGCTCCAATATTTTAATCATTTAACCTCTCATTAACTGTAAGTATAGAAAGTAGAACTCAAATTTGGAAAAAAACAATAACAAAAACAAAACACCCTGATTTTAATGACTGTGTCTTTGAAATAGGTTTAGAAGAAAAGCTTAATATATGTTGAATAACCTGACTTACTACATAAAGGGCTTTATTTTTAAGAGCTCTAGGTTTCACACAAGTAAATAAGCTCTATGTAAAATATTTACTTTTTATTTGGTACAGAAGGTTGCATGTGATTAGAATTCTTCAATAACTATCCTTCCATTTCCATTCTCCTGTATTTTCAGGCTCTCCCTTTTCACTGCAAATTTTCTCTTAGTATTTAAAATACAGTCAGGACTCTTTCATCTTATCAAAAACTTATCTGTACCCCATACTCCTTCCTGTTACATCCTTTCTCTCCTCTTCTCCATGGGCATGTTTCTTCAAAGAGCTGTCCACATATACAACATAACTTCTTCTCCTCTTGTTTACTCCCAAACCCACAGCAATCTAGTTTCAGGTCCCACCTTTATGAATAGAAACCTTTTCTGTCCTATCTTACTGGACATCAGTACAACAAATATGAACATTTTCCCTCTGGCCCCTTGTATGGCTCTTCTTTATTTCTGACTTTTCTCTTCTTTTTTACTCTCCAGGCTCAATCCAAGGCAACAAATATCTAGTCTGTTATGTGCCAAAGATACTGCTACACGTATTGCAAATTTGGTTTTCTTTATTCTTAACACTAATACCTTGCTTTAAGTCAACACAAGATTTCTCTTCGAATTATTTCAATAGCTTTTCATTTCAGCTCCCTCTGCAGTCCACTGCCCACATAATATACCTAAAACACAAGTTTAATATCATCTGCTTAAAATTCTTCCAAGGCTTCTCTCTTTCTCTCTTTTTTTTTTCTTTAAGATTTTATTTACTTATTTGACTGACAGAGATCACAAGTAGGCAGAGAGAGAGAGAGGAGGAAGCGGGCTCCCTGCTGAGCAGAGAGCCCAATGTGGGGCTCGATCCCAGGACCCTGAGATCATGACCTGAACCAAAGGCAGAGGCCCAACCCACTGAGACACCCAGGCACCCCTTTTTTTTGCTAATTTAATTGGGATTTTTTTACTTAAAAAAAAAAATTCTTCCAAGGCTTTCCATTGTATTCAAGTTAAAACTCAAACTTCTTAACTCAGCATACAAAATCCTGGTTTTTATGAACCCTGCCTGTATACTTCTATATTCCCAGCCTCACTGCAAAGGTGAAAAGATTGCTAGATATAATACAGGATACCCACTTAAATTTGAATTTCAGATAAACAAATAATTTTTTAGTATAAGTGTTTGCTGTGTAATAGTACAAGCATGTGTAATATTTATGACATAATTATATTAAAATTATTCACTGTTTAACTGTACTCCTGGGGCTAATAATACATTATATGTTAATTTAAAAATAAATAAAATGGATACCATATTAAAAAATTATTCACTGTTTATCTGAATTCATATTTAACTGAGCATACTGTATCTTTATTTGCTAAATCTGGCAACTCTTGAGACTACTTACTCCACTCATCTTCATCTCCTACGGTAGAGAGAAGTAGTAGGTTTGAGAGTTTAGTAAGAAATGAAATTGGTAACAAAATTTGGTAATACATTAAGCAAAGGAAGTGACAAAGATGAGGGTGTCAAGGACGATCTCATGCTTCTGGTCTGCTAAGCTACATTTGCTAACTAAGATGGAGGACACTGGAAGACCAGGTTAGGTCTTGGTCGTGACAGTTCTCAGTTTTCAATGCTCATTCTATTTAATCTCTTGATAACTTATGTTATAGTTAGTTCTAAATGTTGGAGTGTTCCATTTACATTCTTTTTGCATGTTTGTTTTCTATTCCACTTCCTAGGTAATCTCATCTATATTCTTGACTCTAGATACTTATCTAGATACAGCTTGTCTCTGCCCTAAATTCCAGACTCCTGTGTCACAAACTGCTTTCATGACATCTCTATCTGAAGGCTAATAACCCTCCAAATGTTTTAATATTTTACTGAAGCACTTCACATACACAGTAATGGGCACAAATCGTAAATGTATATGTATTCACCTATACAGTCACTGGACAAATCAAGATATAAAATATTTCCAACACCCCAGAAGTTTCCTATATGTTTTTTTCCCAGTCAGGACTCCCTTTCCAAAGATTATCACTATTCTTGCTTCTACTACATAAAACACTCTTGCCTGTTATTGAACTTCATATGTACAGAATTACACAATACATACACATTTGTGTCTGAGTTATTTCGTGAAATATTAAGTACATGAGTAGACAGATCAAATTTAATGTTGAAACCAAATTCTCTTAATCAGTCTCCCAACTTGCTCCGTCTTCCAGTGCTCCCATTTCAAGAAGTGATACCATCATTCATCCACCTGCTAAAACCAATAATTTTAGACTCATCCTTAACTGCTATTTTCCTCTCTCATGAAACATCCAGCCACATCAGAAAATCCTGGCACATCTGCTTTAAGATAGATTCTGAATCAGACCACTGCTCCCACTTTAATCTCATATACCAGTATCTGACCACCACAATTGTTTAACAGGGTCTCTTTGCCTTCACTTGCCATCTTAGACAATTCTCCACATGGTAGCCAGAGTAATCATTCAAAATATATCTAATCATGTCATCCCTTTGCCCTAAAATGTGTTTCTAGGCACATTTAGAATAAAATCCCTGCTTCTTATGATGGCATAGGAGACTCTACATTATACCATTCGATTTCTCCCTGAACACAACTGAAGTCATTCTTTTTTTTAAACTGATTTTGCTCCAGTCATTCTAACCTCTTTTCTATTCATCAAATATGCAGAGCTCATTTCCATCTCCTGGTCTTTTCTCTTGTTTTTTTGTTTTGTTTTGTTTTGTTTTTTCCTTTGCCTAGCATGCTTTGTCACAGATTTTCATATGACCCACTCTCTCACTTCATTCCAGCTCTGTACAAATATAATCTCCTCAGAGAGTCCTATCCTATTACCGTGTTTAAAATAGCATCCCTAGTCACACTCTGTTTTTACCTGCTTTATTTTCCTTCAGTACTTTTATTCCTGACATTGTTGTATATTTATTTAACTGTTTATTGTCTTTCTTCCTCTGCTATAACATAGCTCTGTTAGAGCAAGGTCTCCGTCATGTTCCCCAGCAACTAAAATACTTTGTGTCACACTGTAGGTGATTAATAAATATTTGTTGAATGAATGGAATTAATGAATAGTGTGATGAGGTATCTCTGAAACATCCAAGGGGAGATGTTTAGAAGGCACCTGCATATAAAGGTCTTAGCCTCAGAGGAGAGTCTTTAATGAGAGAAAACTCAGAAGCCCTTCTTTTTATAGGACGCCTATACATATCAAGGGTTAATTTTAAAAAGATTAAAATCTATGAACTAACCTTGAGGAACTCCCAGATTTAATCATTAATAGTGGTAGATAAGATTGCAAAGAAGCAGGAATTACCTGAGAAATAATTTATTGTTTATTTGTCTCTATGATTAGACTATTTTCTAATATTTAGTAAAGAACCTGACATACAATTGGAACAAAGATAGGTTTGTTGAATTAAGGAAGTAAAAAAATACCTCTTGAGCAAGATATGACTTACTTTTAAATTTCAAGTCAATCAATCACATAAAAGAATACAAAAGCATACATAATTTCAGAATCACTATTTTCCCTTACTACTAGGCCTTATAAAAAACATTTTCTACTGCCAAAGGAAAATATTTTATTGGGCAAGACCTAAATAAAATCATGATTGTTTTTGGTATGCTTTCCACTTTCCCTTTCATAATCTCTCTTGTTCACAAATTCCCTCTTAGGTCTATAAAACAAATCCCCCTTCTAATGTTCACCCTCTAGGGTAATAGATGGCTACTCCTTTAAAAGATGTGTGTTTTTACAAGTTTAGTTTGTATCACTTGATTAATTTCCTTCAGAACAGTCACTATTGGGGCACCTGGGTGGCTCAGTTAGTTAAGTGTCTGCCTTCAGTTCAGGTCATAATCTCAGGGTCCTGGGATGGAGCCCCATATTGGGCTCCTTGCTTGGTGGAGAGCCTGACTCTCCCTCTCCTTCTGCCTGTTGCTCTGCCTGTTTGTGCTCTCTCTCTCCCTCTCTGTCAAATAAATAAATAAAATCTTTCAAAAAAAGAACAGCAACTATTTTAATCATTTTTATACTCAGAATTCCTAACATAAAACCTGGCATGTAGAAAATACTGATTAAGTTGGTGTGCCTGGGGGGCTCAGTGGGTTAAAGCCTCTGCCTTTGGCTCCAGTCGTGATCCCAGGGTCCTGGTATCAAGCCCCACATCAGGCTCTCTGCTCAACAGGGAGCCTGCTTCCCCCTTCTCTCTCTGCCTACTTGTGATCTCTGTCAAATAAATAAAAATAAAAAAAATCTTTAAAAAAAAAAAGAAAGAAAATACTGATTAAGAGAATTTCTTAAAGTGACAATTATGTAAAAAAAAACCTTTTTTTCTTTATATAAACATACCTATTAAGAGCCAAATCAGCAATTCTTCAAGTTTACCCAAAAACAGATGCTATAAAACTTGACTCAGGAAATGAAAATAGCAATCTGATAGACAGCATGAATTAAAAAGGTTGGAAATGTTTAGTTAAGTTTATCCTAATAATAAACTAAATTATTTAGTATCTATTATGTAAGGTACTATGTTGATTTTTATTTTCAATCTTCACACATAATTCCAATATATCTGTTTATCGATTATGTTCCTTTCCCATGACTGAAACTCAGGAGGCAAGGACTTTATATCACTCCTCACTGCTGTAAATATAGCAACACCTAATACAGAGTACATACTCGGAAAATGTTTATGAAATGACTTAATGAAGGGTGTTACAGGGATAGTTAAGACCCGCATTCTAATTTCACATATCTTCATTTCTTAAAACACAACCAAGCTAAAAAGCACTCAGTTTCCTGGGCTACCAATTTTATCAAAATATGCTGTCACATGTACTGTCAAATGTACTATCAAAATGTACTGTCACAAAAATAAAGAAATACAGAATTATGAAGATGATTAGTTTTAGTATTTATTACCTGATTCTGAATGTGAAGTATTCTTTGGTTTTGAAGTAATATTTTGGTCTGCTAATGTCATCACTCTATAATAAGAACAAATTAATGGTTATTCTCTTAATCTTTCAGTAACTTTTGAGAATCCTCAAATAATACTTAAAATAATAACATTTATATTTATATCAAATGTCCTGTAGAAAAAATATAACTGGTTAAAAATGTTCCTGTATCTATATGAAAAAGTAGTTTAATAATAAAAAGTAATATATTTAAACATTTTTCAGTGTGAGACAATACAAATAAAGGAAAAGGTATAGTGTTCAGAATCAGACAGACCTAGGGTTAAAGCCCAGTTCTGCTACTCACACTTGAGTGGTCTTGGAAATTTAGTTAACTTGTCTTGACTCTTGTTTCCCTCATTTATTAAAAAAAAAAAAAAAGGCAATCTTGTTTCCTAGGATTCTTGTGGTAACAATCTCAAGTAACATTAAATATAATACTTTTAAAAAATTACTATCCTTTTTTCTCTCTTTTTATTTAAGATTTTGTTTATTTATTTATTTATTTGAGAGAACGTGAGCATGAGTGGGGGTAGGGGCAGAGGAAAAAGGGAGAGGGAGAAGCAGACTCCCCACTGAGCAGGGAGCCCAATGCATGGCTCAGTCCCAGGACACTGGGATCGTGACCTAACTTTAACTGCTTACCTGACTTAGCCACCCAGGCACCCCTATCCTTTTGTCTTTTAAAAATTATACCACTCCCAATTCTATTGAAATGTGTATGAAAGAATTACAAGAGGAATACCAAAGGATCAAAGTTCAGCCTTTGGCCACCAAAATGGGATTTCTGAGTTCCTGGCAAGACAATGGAGTTGAAAACCAAATACGAGAAGATAATTTTCTAAATTTCTATTGTTGGCTTATTGAACAATTGAATTCAGTAAGCAAAAAAAAATTTTAGGAAATGGAAACAAAGGCAAAAATGAACTTCTAGGGCTTCATCAAGATAAAAAGCTTTTGCACAGCAAAGGAAATAGTTGACAGAACCAAAAGACAACTGACAGAATGGGAGAAGATATTTGCAAATGACATATCAGATAAAGGGCTAGTATCCAAAATCTCTAAAGAACTTATCAAACTCAACACCCAAAGAACAAATAATCCAATTGAGAAATGGACAGAGGACATGGATAGACATTTCTGCAAAGAATACATCCAAATGGCCAACAGACACATGAACAAATCCACCACATCACTTAGTATCAGGGAAACATAAATCAAAACCACAATGAGATACCACCTCACACCAGTCAGAATGGCTAAAATTAACAAGTTAGGAAATGACAGATGTTGGTGAGGATGTGGAAAAAGTGGAACCCAAGTGGGAATGCGAGCTGGTGCAGCTTCTCTGGAGTATGGAGTTGAAAGTTGAAAACAGAACTACCCTACAGCCCAGCAATTGCACTACTGGGTATTTACCCCAAAGATGCAAATGTAGTGATCCGAAGGGGCGCCTACACCCCAATGTTCATAGCAGCAATGTCCACAATAGCCAAACTATGAAAAAATCCCAGATGTCCATTGACAGATGAATGGATAAAGTTGTGGTATATATACATATACACACACAACAGAGTATTACGCAGCCATCAGAAAATGAAATCTTGCCATTTGCAACAATGTGGATGGAACCAGAGGGTATTATGCCAAGTGAAATAATTCAATCAGAGAAAGATAATTATCCTATGATCTCACTGATATGTGGAATTTAAGAAATGAGGCAGAGGATCATAGGGGAAGAGAGGAAAAAATGAAACAAGATGAAACCAGAGAGGGAGACAAACCATAAGAGATTCCTAATCAAAGGAAAATAACTGAGGGTTGTTAGAGGGGAGAGGAGTGTAGGGATTATGTAACTCTGGGTATGGACATTAGGGAGGGTATGTGTTGTAATAAGCACTGGGTATTATATAAGAGTGATGAATCACAAGCCTGTACCCCTGAAACCAATAATACATTATGTTAATTTAAAAAAATGAAGAAAAAACCCAATTTTATTCTATCCTATTTTCTTCTTAAATAAATCCTGTCAAAAATAGTGCTTTCTTGCCCCTAAATGAACTTTTAGGTGTATCCCATTGTTTTTATGGTATTCTCTTATATAATAAAACAGTCATTTTGGGGTAATAAAAATGGGAATGGGGGTACCTGTCAATTTATTTTGTTTTCATCTATTGAGGTCCCTGTTCAAGTTCTAACACTATTTGAAAGCCACATTTAATATCCTGGTACATTCCTCAAGTTCCTCTTAACATATGTAGGTGAAAACCACAGAGTTTTACTATTTGCCACAGAGTGTAGAAAAAATTCAGGATGTGACCAAAGATAGATTCCTGCTCCATGCCTTCCACCTAGAGGACTACTGCTAAGAAAAAGGGGACAGCGTCTTGGGAAATAAGCAGTTTGACAGTGGGAACTGACTTCTCTCCATCAAGCCCTAAATCTGGAAGTGGGAGTACTAGGTACAAAGATGACATTAGATGACATTAGAAGAGGTGAAGAGAAAGCCAAAAGCAGAGGGGGCATGTGCCAAATTCACTGTAGGTGGAGATATCCACAAAGAGCAGAAATTCAACATCGAAATGAGTTTGGACTATTCAGTGTTCAGGAGACCTCAGTTAGCCCTCCTTGAGAGTCCCTTAATTCCTGTAGATTGTGAATGAGTTCTCAAGGTTCCAAATACCAAGGGCAGTGCAGAAGGTGCTCAAATTAGAACCAAAATACTTGACTTGGGCCACTACCACTACTCTACCACAAAGGTTGCAGAAAGGCAATCAAGTCAAAATATAGTTGGAGGACTTCAAAGACATCCAAGGAGTTTTGGGTAGCAACAAAAGGTAAGGTGAGAAAGAAATCAGCAATGGAGGATCTCAGGCCCTAAATAAGGATGTAAGTTCACCAAAAATTTTATCAGCAGAGTTTAGCCCAGGTACAGAACTAGTCTTAAAACCTCTACCGTAAATTAATATAAGTCCAGAGAAAACACGTAGATCCCAAACAACCTCAAAGCCCCAACTTTACCCCTCCCCCAGCTCTGGCTTGTTCCTGTACCTATAAGGAGCCTATATTTAGGGTGACCATTTATTCAAACTGGCACCTTACCAAGAGTAAAAGGGAGTTCTACTAAAATTTATGTCAGAACAGTAGACACATACTAGGACAGTCCCAGGCAAATCAAGAGGTATGATAATCTACCTATATGCCATACTCAGGAATATGTAATAAGGAAAAAAAAAATCTGTAAGATTCAGCATTCACCCAAAAGAGACTTTTAACTGGAAGTAAATGGATGGCACTATTAAGTTTAACTCATCATTTCCAAGCTAAAAAGGAGAGAAGGGAAAGGAGAGCCTATGAGAAGTTGAAGTCAGTTAATTTTAAAAATAAATAAACTACATATGAAACTAGTATTCTACTTCATGTTCACTAACTGGAATTTAAATAAAAATTTTAAGAGTGCCTGGGTGGCTCAGTCCATTAAGTGTCCTACTCTTGATTCAGGTCAGGTCTTGGTTGAGGTCATGATCTCAAGGTCCTGGGATTGAGCCCACACATCAGGTTCCCTGCTCAGTGGGCAGTCTGCTTATCTCCTTTCCCCCTACTCATCTCCTAGCTTGAACTCTCTCTCTCTTAAATAAATAAACCTTTAAAAATAGAGAGGCAAATAAATAGATACATACATACAAACTTAAGGAAGGAAGGAAGGGAGGCAAGGAGGAAGGGAGGAAGCAAAGAAAAGGAAAGGAAAGAGAGAAGGGAAGGGAAGAGAAGAGAGATGAAAGCTCTATTTTCTCTACATAACCATGTGGTACATTTTATTTTTTAAAGATAGGGCAACATTTAGGGGGGACAGAAAATAAGATCAGATACACATAATCAAGCACTGTATTACATTTGCTCCATGAAATATATAGGCAACACTCATTGAACTGGGTATATACATATCTTTCATCAATATAAACAAAACTCCCTTTATTTATTAGGTACTATGTCAAAGTTGTAGGATTTTAACTTTGTGAATGTGTACTTAATTAAAGAGAATGCCAAAAATAACTAATAGTCAAAAGTGGTATAATTACTATTACTATCCAAACTCTCCTTTCTTCCTAAAAATATATTGCACTGTAAATTGTAGAAGGGATTTAAAATTATATATCATTATTTCTCTCTGGTGATGTTAATAATTTATCTTCCGAATTTTCATTGTTGCTCACCTTCAATTTGTAAAAAATGTAAAATCTGTGAAGCACAATAAGAAGAAGTACAAATAAAATGAGGTATGCCTGTAAAATATTCCCTTTTCTTCAGAAATTTTTTACCACTTAGATACAAGCGTATTTGTAAGGAGGCTTTCACACTAACGCTATTCTTTTCTCACTCCACACAATTTCCTAGGGTGACAACGATCCCTTCAGCCCAGAATCATTCCCTTGCTAACTAGGCTGGAATATATAACTACTTGCCTGATAAAACCACCTCAAAGTGTTCTAGGTACTTCAGTATTTTCCAAACTAAAATTATCTGTCACGCCAACTCACTCTTGCTTTTCTGTTTGTGTTCCTTCATCCAATGAATTAGTCATCATTTACCCAGTTTCCTGTCAGAGGGCTAGAAACCATGTCGGACCTCCACCTTCCTCCCTTAACTAACCAAACATTAAATATTACTGATTATCCCTTCTGAATTGTTCTGAAGTTTTCCCTTTTTGCTGTCCTTGCTGATAAAGTTCAGGTCCTAATTACCCTCACTTGAAATGCTACAAAAGACATTCCTTCAATCTAATCACTTTTTCTAATCCTTCTTCTTTGTTGCAAAAGTGATTATTCTAAGACAGAAATATTATCATGCATATGTCTGTGAACAGGTGGGATAACAGGCAAGAATTTTGATTGAGTAATGTAAAAGTTCTACAGAGATCTGCCCTATAAAAGTATAGCAATCCTCACCCCCATAAACTCATCAGCACAGAATACCTAAATCATAAACACCCACCAAGGAAGATAACATTGTACCATCTACTATTTAAT